TGTGGCAAGCACAGGGACGGTTGGTATCAGTCTAGGGGGCATTACTCGCTCGCGCTGCCATTGCGAGAAGGCACGAGACGAGAAGAGACACATCTTTGCAGATCAAGAATAGACATACGAAATAACTCGCCAAAAAACTGTCGAATCCACGTAATACTACGCATGCGTACGTATGCGTGACCGTGCGCGCAACCCACAGTGCTTTACCTTATATAGTCAAGCACATGCAAACATATACCACTTGCTGCCATCGTATTTTTTGTTGACATTTTAGAATAACGTCGATGAGCCTTTTAATTAAGTCCAATAATTTATGAAAGTTGTTAACAAACAACATGCCTCTATGGAGGACATCCCTCGACCGCAAAGGCAATCAATTCATAATAACCAAAATGCAAATGACGTGTGAAATATTAAAGAGCAGCATGTAATTAATTAACATCTTTCGTGGTAGCTTTCTCGCGTCGCATGCCCCTAATTGTTCTCCCATCTGTACTGCCAGCCTCTGATCAAACAGCAGTATGAATACATTAACCCACTAGTAGCAGTTACTAGGAGTAGCAGTAGCAGTGGCAGTAGCATCAGCAACAGTAGCAGCAGCAGCAGTAGTAGCAGCAGCAGCAGCAGCAGCAGCAGCAGCAGCAGTAGCAGTAGCAGTAGCAGCAGCAGCAGTAGCAGCAGCAGCAGCAGCAGTAGCAGTAGCAGTAGCAGCAGCAGCAGCAGTAGCAGTAGCAGTAGCAGCAGCAGCGGCAGTAGCAGCGGTAGCAGTAGCAGTAGCAGCAGCAGTGACGGCGGCAGTAGCTGTAGCAGCCGCATATGGCAAGCCATTTGTATCATAATTCGAGAAACCACGGTTCCTCGCACGAAACCAGGTTTCGTGCTCACAAAACCTAGTTTCTTGCGACGAAACCAGGTTTCGTGCTCACAAAACCAGGTTTCTTGCCATGAAACGTGGTTTCTAGCCCTATAACCGCAGTTATAGCTGGAATCTTAGTTTCTTGAGCAAGAAACTAGGTTTTGGAAGCAAGAACCTAGGTTTCAGCAAGAAACCCACTTTCAACCGCGCCATTTGTATCATAATTCGAGAAACCATAGTTTCGAGCGACGAAACATAGTTTCGTCGTTGCTAAGGCCCGTATCTAGGATTCGTAATCCCGAGGGTGACGTCAGCGTAGTTCAGCCACTCGGGGCCACTGCTCAGTAAATACTATAGAAATAACATATAGTTTATTGTAACAAATAAGTAATAGTAATATAATAACATATAGTAACAAATAATACTAGTTAGGCGAATTAATTAAATATTGTATAAATAAATTAAATATGCTGTGCTATTAAATGTATGAGAGTGTACGTGCGTATATCTGCGTGTACCGCGTGCGACGTGCGTGTACCAGCGTGTAGCCCAGCGTGCACGTGCGTGATACCGGCACGCGTGCACGTGGCGTGTACCAGCGTGTAGCCCGGCGTGCACGTGGCGTCGTAACGCCGCGTGTACGTGCGTGTAGCCAGCGTGTACCCGCGTGCACGGTGCGTGTACCGCGCGTGTACGTGGCGTGTACGTTGCGTGTACTCACGTGTCACCCGCGGGGCCACGTGCGTGTACTCGCGTGAGTCGTGACAGCGTGTACAGCCACGCGTGTACCCGCGTGCACCGTGCGTGTACCCGTGCAGCGAGTACGCGCGTACGCACGGGTGCGTTAACCCGCGTGTACAGTCGTACCCGTGTACGTGCGGACGCGTGTAGACCCGGCGTGCACGTGCGTGTAGCGCCGGTGATACGTGCGTGTACGTGACGTAGTACCAGCTGTGTACGGCGCGCGTGCAGCGGGCGTGTACCCGCGTGTACGTGCGTGTACCAGGCCGTGTACCGCGGTGCAGGCGTGGCGTGTACCGCGCGCTCGTCTACGCGTGCGTGTACGTAGCGTGTACCGAGCGTGTACCCGCGTGCACGTGGCGTGTACAAGCGTGTACGTGCGTGGTACCAACAGCGTGTACCCGCGTGTACGTGCGCGTGTAACACGCGCGTGCAGACGCGGCACGACTGCGTGCAACGTGCGTGCACGTGCGTGTACGCCCGCGTGCACTGTGGCGTGTACCCGCGAGTACGTGGCGTGTGGTTGGTACGAAACGGCTGGTTTTGGACACGAAACTGGTTTCGTGCGCGTCGAAAGCTATGGTTTTCTGCGAATTATGATTACAAATGGCGCCGTTGAAAGTGGGTTTCTTCTGAACGCTAGGTTCTTGCTGCCAAAACCTAGTTTCTTGGCACTCAAGAAACTAAGATTCTACAGCATAAACTACGCGGTTATAGGGCTAGAAACACACGTTTACATGGCAAGAAACCTGGTTTTGTGAAGCACGAACACCTGGTTTCGAGTCGCTTCGAAAGCGTATGGTTTCTCGAATTACTGATACAACATGGCGCGTTGATAAAGTGGGTTTCTTGGGCTGCAAAGCTGGTTCTTGCTGCCCAAAAACCTAGTTTCTTGCTCAAGAAACTAAAGATCAGCTATAACTGCGGTTATAAGGCTACGAAACAGGTTCATGGCCGATGAAACCTAAGTTTCATGACAAGAAACGGTAGGTTTTGTGTGAAGGCAGCGAAACCTGTTTGCGTGGGCGAGGAACCGTGAGTTTCTGCGAATTATGATACAAAATGGCGCGTTGAATAGTGGGTTCTGTGAAACCTAAATTTTGCTTCCAAAGCCGTATTTTCTTTTGTCAGACAAGATCAGCTATACTGCTATGGCTAACCAGGTTTCGTCGCCACGAAACCCTAGTTTCATGCAAGAACCTGCCTGGTTTGCTATGAAGCAAGAAAAGCTAGTTTGTGAGCACGAAACGTGGTTTCCGTGGCGAGGAACCGGGTGGTTTCTCGAATTATGATACAAATGGCTTGCCATAGCCGCAGCAGCAGCAGCAGCAGCGGTAACGGTAGCAACAGCAGTAGTAATGATGATATGATGATGATGATGGATGATGATGATGATCAATAATAATAACAAGAGCCGCAGAGCGTCTGGGCTCATCTGAGGTCTGCTTGTTAAGCGGTTTATAAACGTAAAATTTCAGTCAGTGCGTAGTACCAACATTTGTGTAGGCGCAAGATATGCAGACACGCAGTTGCGTACACATCATTGTTAGGACATGCCCACTATCGCAGATGGAGGGTAGGGGGAGAGTGGGGGAGGGGGTGGGGGAAGGGGGCGGGGGGAGGATGGGAGAGGGGGAAGGGGGAGGTGGGGGGAGGGGGCTCTAATAGGCAAAAGCAGTTCACTCCTTTGTTAACAGTCAACAAATCCATGTTTAACCCTCCCTCTTGAGGGTCAAAAGGTTATCAGACACTTACTGTCCGGCACGTCAGTGGAAAGCACAATTTCATGGTCCTTTCAATAAAGCCATAAAAATGGTAGGTCAGCCGCTGAAAACAAAAAAGTTTCTTCAATCGCTCGGTCACACGACCATCGTCCTGAGAAAATGTCTAAATTCTGCCCTGTGCCC